TTTTTTAGTGGAACACTGAAATAATACTCCATAAAACTCCCAACCAAAAAACCCTAAACTGTTTTACATTCAAAGTGTTTCCTGTTCAGCTTCTTTGGGGAATTAAGTATGAATTAGTTTTTCTTTCTCTCATTGATTTGTCAGTTTCATACAATATGTAATCAATATCAGTATCGCAGAAAGAAATGCTGTCATATGTAGGTGAATTAGCTTGTCTTTGGCTATCAGGACATCCTAGCACAGAACTACAAGCACCTAACAATGGCTCTGTGCAGCCTCAATACTAAAATATCACCATGCGTGCTGATATTCAGCTGTTAACAACCGCAGGGGGGGGGGGGGGGGGGGGGGGGGAAGCCATGCATAAGTCTGTCATAAAAAGCAAAATCTAGAGTTACAATTTCTAATTCTCCATCCAGCAGGACTAGGAGAATCAGAAAGAGTATGTAACAGGTGACCTGCTTGGAGCTCAAACAGTGTTTTCATTAGACATGTTCATGTTTAACAAACTTCAACCTCTGACAAAATGGAAGTCAAACAGAAAGGACATTAACACTTTCCTATCAGTCCTTCAGGAACAAACCTAGACATGCTCAGCCTAGCTAATGGGATCATGTTGCGAGGCAGATAGGAACTTCCATGCTTCGATAACGTCTCCGTTGTGTGAGTGGGTGAGCGGTGATAGAGGGGACAGTGAGTGAGAGCTGTGCTCACGACAAAGCACCTTTTCTTATCGATAATTGCTTGGCAACAGTAAATCAGCTACCTGATAATTTGATGATTACTCTAGCAAGCCCTTAAACATCTCTATCAATGCTGAATTGTGATTATATCTCTAAGCAAATTACAAGCGCACTGAGCACAGGAGCATATTAATCCAATTAGGCATCCATTGGCCTTATTTCCCTCTCTCATTCTCTCTCTATCTTTTTTTTTTTTTTGTTAATTAAGTAACATTTGATAGGCGTCAAAATGAGATCAAGTATAATTTTATACACATCAAAGCACTAGTTTATAGTTTGGTGCTGATGGAGCATTAAACCATCACCAGGGTACATACACTGTACTATTAGGGTCATTCTGTTTTTTCTTGGTGCTGTAGCACACTGGAGCTTTGTTGTGTCTATAAAAAAAAAAACAACTTGTTGAAATTGCAATTCTCTTGGTGCACCGCCCTAAAGATCAAAAGGGCCAACAGTCTCGCACTGTTGACCCTTACTTGGAGTGTCACAGACTCTCACGGTTGACCAGCTGCAGAAAGTACAATTTAGGCTTTACAGCATTTCTTGCAAGCTTCAAAGAACGTGTCCAGTCCTGCAAAGACAGATGTGAAAAATGCCCACGATTAAGATCCAGAAACAGTTTTATCTAACTTATTTTTAGTCCTAGGTGAAACAACGTCAGCTACACTATGGAGTATATTCAAATACTGTTGCTCAAAAATAAATGGAAGTTTAAAATCTGCTGTGTACCCCTGAGTGTACCTTTAAAATGGTACCATGCCAAGATGGATGATGAATGTTAACTCTCCATCAAAGGTAATGTGACTGTCCCTGATGGGCTGAGACAAATGCAACCATATGACAGAAGGAAGATGCTGAAAAATGACCAAACTTCAGTCGAGAGAACATCTGAGATGATCTATCCACAACACGAGGTTAGTCATTGATATGCTGCTGTGCGCTCTGGATGATTCTAAACTGAAATCTTAGTTCGTCTCTGATTGATTCTTCGTGTGTGGCAAACTGTGAGCCAATGGGCTGTAGCTACATTGTAAGGTTTTAAAAACTGAGCTTTAAGGGACATGAGTAGTGCTAATGGAAAGCCAGAGAGGCTGACAATGACCATAGATTGTTTTTAGAGGCTTCGTCATATCAAATAAAAGAAGATACATATTAAAAAGACATCAGTAAGAACTAGGATCCAAAAGCAGGGTTGATACCTGATTACTTAACAAGCTAATACTAAAACTGGACTGCACCAGTGATGATTGAGAGAGAGCTTTAAGAGTTGTTTTTAATTACCTGTAAGTGCTGTAGTACATTTAAAAACACTTACGACACAATGTTATAAGAATATTCTTTTAAATTTAGACATATGGAAGTTTGCTTTTGTTTCTTTTGTGCTGTTAAGTCATTTTTGATGCATCAGCTAATTTGAGAATGGGCTTGAAGATGATACCCTCACCCTTAAGGACTTTAACTGATCTTGTTACTATCTGTGATAACATTGGTCACCTTTCTCACTCACTATGTGCTAACAGACCTCTCCGCATTGAATCATACTTGTTATTAATCTCCGGCTCTCTTCCACAGCATGTCCTTTACCCCGTCTTCCTTCTCTCACCCCAACCGGTCGCAGCAGATGGCCCCGCCCCTCCCTGAACCTGGTTGTGTAGGAGGTTCCTTCCTGCCAAAACTGAGTTTTTCCTTCCCACTGTCGCCAAAGTGCTTGCTCATAGGGGGTCATATGATTGTTGGGTTTTTCTCTGTATGTATTATTGTAGGGTCTACCTTACAAAATAAAGTGCCTTGAGGCGACTGTTGTTGTGATTTGCCGCTATATAAATAAAACTGAATTGAATTGAAAATTGATACTGTCAACCAACAGCTTGGTATAAATGAAATAATAATGAAGTAATGTTAGACAAACCAAGCACAGTTTATCTAATGTTTGCTACACCTGACAGCACATATTGCCTCTTTAATGTCTGAATGCTTTTCTATCCTCTCTTTGTGAAACCAGCTCAAGGTTTTGGTGTCACACTGAGACCTTCCATCTACAGACACCTTTTCGAATAAGCATTAAACATGCACATGAGGGGAAATATCTGCGGAAGATGAGAAAAAGATTTCCACATGCAAGGCAGCCACAAGGCAGCAGTGGTTTAAATCGATGTCATGAGTATCAAGTTATTCTTGACTGGAGAGACATGCTCTCTTGCTCTTACTGTTAAATTGCTAGTGCTATAGATTGCCTTGCCTACAGCTAAAACCATCAGCAAAAGAACAAAACCCGAGAAAGTTCTCTAGGTGCTGTCAGAAACCATTTTTGGAGACAGAGAAAAAAAAGATCCAACGTCTGAGCACAGACAGAAGTCGAAAAAAAGCATCTGGCCTCCATATATGGAAAGAAATGAATTACTGCAGGAACAAACTGACCTTCACTGCCTGATAAATCAGTATACTGTATCACAGTTAACAGATTTTCGTAATTTAACAATAGTAACTAACACTTTTAACATGCTCTTTGAAGACTGTTTTTTTGGCTGATGCAACAACTTATAAAAGATAAATGTAGCAACAGAGTTTCCGTAAAAGAATTCTTTTAGACACTACTCCTACCCCGTTTCCAACAGACTAAAATGAAACGTTAAAACGATGACATTTTATTAAGCAGATGTCAGCAGCAACGGCAGCTCTTATCACTTTCATATTTGTACATATAACAGTGCAAACTTATGGTTATCTGTGTTGACAGCAAAGATAAACCAGTGGAGCGTGCGGCCAGGCACAGTTTTGTGACTTACAGCGGACTTCCAGGTACATGTGCCGGGCGTCCTGGCCGATGGAGTTGCTGGCGGTGCAGAGGTACTGTCCAGCATATGTGAACTGGACATTTTTCAAGGTGAGAGAGGACACCCGCGCATGACTGCGCACCACCACATTTCTATCAACGCTCTATAAAGAAGAAGAGAAAGAAATTATTCTCACTCATAAAGCAGATAGTTTTATATAACACAGGGCTAAAGGATCAGTCTGTATTTGTTGTTTTGCTAGCACAAATGGAACAAATGAGCAGAAGATAAAGTGGGAACTATAAACTGAGAAAGCAAGAGTTAAAAAAAATGTAAAAAAATGTGACAACGGACTGACAGGTGAGCCATGTGAACTGCAGTGCAGAAATACCACAAGAACAGCAGGATGGAGACAACATAAAAGCAACAACTGCAATGAACTCTTCTGAGAGAGAATTTAGTATTCCTTGGATGCTATTAGCTGATAAGGCTAAATTTATTCTATGTTTTTTTGTGAGTGTGAAGTGAGTGCCACAGGAGCAAACAAATCCTTCCTTTAAATCCTAAAAAAAAATAACGTTAGTTGTGAAAATCTTACAAATATGCTGCTAAAATGTATTCTTTTCTCATATATATATATAAACAGCAAAAGACTGGACATCCTGGCCTCTGAAAAACTATTGCTGGGATAACTATTAAACCTGCGTCAGAGCCCTGGCTAATAACCTGCAAACTCGATTGCTGTCCTTACCATTTAGCAGTCTGGTTGCAGGGTTACAGGCAGTCTAACTGCACTTTTAACAAACAGCTTGTTAAATCTGGTTTGTATTTGTATTAAGAGATCACATTTATTAGCCTGCCTACTGAGCTAATACTGCTATTCCAAGCATGTGTTATGCCTTAGAGTGATCTCTTAACAGCTGTGCAGCTGACATCAAAAGTGGCCCAACGACCTCACTTGTTTTTTTTAACAATTGCAGTGGATCCTAGCTTTGTCTCTGTTGTGCATCTAACCTGATGCAAATACAGGCCCAAAGCAGAGGGGGGCTTCAAGTTCTGCACCGTTTTGCGAAGACAAAAAGTATATTTGTTTTGAAATCGCATGGTGAAAGTCAGTAGGTGAAAAAACCAACATCGGTAATAAAGAGAAGCCCTATGAAATGATTAATAAAACTGCAAGCCTATAAAACCCATGGCTGTTAAACCAACCTGTAACAGTTTATCTTTCCTTTGGGGGACACAGGCGACACAAAAAGGAGATACACATCTTCGTTCTAGGTGCCATAGTATTCGCTTTTTATTTTATGCATTCAAGCTAGAGCTTCGGCGTGCAAAGCTCTGGCCGGTAAACTAGAATATAGATGTAGTATATAACCGAGTCATATTTGTTGTGTAAGTATTACGTCAAAAACAGCTTTTCTTTGCAGAGCAGGGTGACGCAGATGTGGCAGAAATATTTCTGCTGTTTACTGAAGATCTGAGGGAGTGTCCTGGAACATTTTGAAAGGGCAGCATTAATCATGTCTTACTGCAGTAACACAGGAAAGAGCTGTACTGGGTACACTGCTGGAATATAAACAGGAAAAAAGGTTAATAGAGAATAATGCTTTAATAATACAGCACAGGTAGAAGGGAGAGGGGAGACCTTTGAACAGGATTCATTCATTAACCAAATCATTTTAATTACAAAAATGAATTATGGTGGTAGACTTGTAAGGGGATGTATGGACAGGATTTTTTCAGTGTCTTGTATTTTGCAGTCACGGCTGATTTGATCTGCAGAGCAAATCTTTGTACACGTGTTTTGCTTGTCGTACATTCTGTCCAGCAAGTGTTACATGAAGAGGGAGACTGTCAGGCATAACATGCACAGGCTCTGTCTGTGTATTCATTAGATGTAGATCTGCTATTCTCAGCAATCACGGTGCAAGAGCCATTTATGCTTTATCTTCCCAAAACACTAGCTCAATAAAACGATGTTAGCGCTGTATTAATAACACGCCGAAATTTTATAACCACCTCCTCCTTTGAAAAAAAAAAATGAGGCAGTTTAGGCAGCTAAAAATAGAACTTTTTAACAAAGCAGAGGTCGGCGAGCTGAGCCAACAGTTTTAAAAAAAATGAACTCTACTACATCAAGAATTCAGCTCATGATTAACTGTCTCCCAATTTGGTATCAGGATCCTTTAACACAACGTGGCACATGAAGATATATATTTGTGGAGAACACCTGAAGGACAGGACAAACCTGTGCCTCCTCCAAAAATTTAACTTTGAAACTACTGGGAGTGGTCCTTGTCAACTTTAATTTCTAGAATGTTGATTTATGGAGCACCCTGATGGCCCAGGGGTTTAAGGAACAGAACATGAATATACAAAGGGGTAGGCTATTCATAATTTTAATCCAGCCTGGGACTTGTGTTGCTTGCTTATCATTCCCCATCTATTTCTGTCCTTAATTCTTTTAATTTCTCCACTGTCAAATCTTTCATCAAGGAGAAGTATACCAAGAAAACTAAGTGCAATTTCTCTACTTGGCATTCTCAAGCCCTCCGAAGTGTTGAGGCGGGAAAAAGGTTACGATTTTAAGGCGACGGTTAACAAAAGGCAAGTGGTAAATAGAGTTCTATTAAACCATTTCCTTTATCTATAATTGTCTTTACTTAACATGCACCGAGTTGCTAAAAGAAAAACAAGCAGGCAACAACATGGTCATATGATCTTCTTATGAGTTGAAAATCAGTCAGTAGGCAGGTTATAATAATCAGACTTTTATCTGGTTTAAGTGTCAAACTGTCTCCCAAAGTGCACTTCTTAATGAAATAAAGATAAAGTGAAAGGGTTTTGCTGTTGTCCTTAGCATAATTTCATACTTTCATGTTCGATTGTCTTCTATGACTAATTGTTTAATGACTGCTTTTTAGGGTTGCTGATTAACACCTGTCAGCTTGGTTCACCTAACGTCCGATGAAAGCAAGGCCGACGCTATTACTGAAGATCTGTTCGATCCATTCTGTGCTGCAATAAGTACATTCACTGACAGCTGACTTTCTGTGTAGGCCTACAAGAAAAATACTTAATGGGCTCATTTGTTCACGTCTAACTCTATGGCTTTATTCTTGGAATTTATTGAAGTAGTCTGCATGATTCACAGTTCAAAGTACCTGGGCCTAGGTGCAGCCCCTCAGTCTAAAACAGGCAAATGTAGATCTCTTACTCCTCCCTTTAGGATAGCTTTCTTCATACAGGTCTTTGCATAGGTCTGTGCTTAGGAATAGCTGCTCTCACTGACATCATACAAAGCCAAAAAAAGCTTCTTTCAACTGAGATGCAGTCTTTAGCCTTACCTCTTTGCTCACATGTATTCCTACATAACACTGAACTCTTTAATTTAACTTAAGGCATCTTTCATATGATCGTCAAGTCCAGCAATAACAGTAAAATAGCTCAAAAGATCTTATGTACAACATGAAATTCAACATGTAAATACTGGAAGCAAGCAAAAGCATCAGGAAATCACCAGAACAAAGTAATAGCAACAATAAAAAAACCAAAGAAGTAGTCTTTAATTGAACTTCTGTAATGAAGTGCACAGTCAAGGATGTCAAGTACTGGAAAATCTGTCGTGACCCTTGGATTAGACTGGGCTCAGAGAGGTAAGAAAAAATGTGAAAGTGCTCCCGCTAAAACATAAAAGCATAGGTCACAGCAGTAGATCCATAAAATGCAACTTAAAACCCAGTCAACAGCCCAACAAGGTGACGTGATTATTGTCACATGCTGGGATGAGGCGATGTTAAACAGGCGTGTGGAATTCGATAGTTTAAAAAAACGTCGCAGCATTACATCAGCAGGAAATGAGTGCCATGAATGATTGAAGCAAGTTATTGAAGCCAGTTAGGACAAACTTGTCAAAACTCTGAATCTGTGTGTTATGGGTGCTGAATATGACAGTTAATTCTTAGCTTGGTTCCTTGTCACACATGTGTGGCAGTGGTGAGTGAAGTGAGCTGATTGTACGGTGTCAGTTCTGTCCAAAGGTAGTAATTGTTTTTGCAGCAGGCCAAGAGTTTGCATGTTTTTCTTTTGTGCCAAACAACAGAACAAGAAGCTCAAGTGCTTTGGGATTTTTTAAAAATGCAAACACACCCTTACCCTGTAAAACTGCTTGTTAATGCCATTCTAAGAGTTCTACCTAAACATGAGCCTTAAAAGTGGACAATGCAAACAGAATTCTGTCAACCTTCTTTGTATTAGAGGTTGGAAAAAAACAACAACTCTCAAATCCTGGAGAAACAAAATCAAAACTCTCTACTTGGCTACATATGATCAGGGGCAAGAAAGACATTCTTTTTCATTTGGGTGAACTGACCTTGTGAGACCACAGTATAAATGAGGCCCCAGGTGACTGAATGAGGCAGCTACTTCAGTGTACAGTTGAAGCAAAAACATGCAGGCCCCTGGCCCATGACAGAAGGCTACACCATTAAAACCCATTCTGTTATTTGCTAGAGTTTGGTGAGTTAGAGTTAGTTTGCTCACAGCAGAGCAGACAGTGTGTGTGTTTTTTTTGGTGTCCAGCTGCTGATCAATCAACAATACAGGATTTATCTTTTTTTTTTTTCATGCAAAGTCTGAGCATTCACCACACTGTGCAGCAGGAAACAAAGAATGGAGCTACTTGGCCTACACCGAGATGCCTGCGTCTCACATGGAAATTTGTTGACAAAAATAAACAGTGATAAACTAATGGAGCAAGTCTAAATGTATACTGGAACTAAATGTATTAAATGAACTGTACTATGTGGCTATTAGTCTACACATTAAGTGCAAAACTAAATATGGTGCATATTAAATGTGGGCTGAATGATAACACTTCTGCTCTGCAAACAAAAACAAAAAAAAAGGTGGCGGGGGTAAAAGTGGTAGTCTATGATGCAAGTCTGGGCTAGTACATCTAGAATCAGGCTACGATATTTAGTAGCCATACCTCGTATGTGTCTGGTCGAGTCCAAGAGGCCTAGAGAGGACAGAAGCAAAGAGGCAAAGACAAACAGCGACACAGTGGAACAAAGTGAGCTTTTGGAAATGACCCACATAGAACGAATGCAGACTGGCTTCAATGTGCAATGACTGAATCTTTTAAATACCGTTCCATGGTTT